ACCCGCGGCCTCCACACATAAATCCGGAAACCGAAAAAAACCGGCAATAACCATCTACACCCAACCATACGCCCTCAACACCCAAGACGCCAGTCCCCCCTTTGTGTTTGTATGTTTTTGTACGTATGCATACATGCATAGCCACAACCCTGAAACCTCTTAAAGTGCCATCAGCTCCTAAATCATGGATTCTCTGCTACGGTTTGTCGGGTATCCTGCCCGTGAATATAGTCCAATAGAGCTTGTCAAACCTGCTTGGAAGCTGACCTTAAATCTTGTGTAGACAACCCAGTGTGTTTTCTTACACACTTGGATGGCTTCAGTTGAGCAATCCAACGTTTTCAAATTCACCAAAACATCGTGCCATATCTGAAGAACTGTACCTGGTGCAAACCGCATCAGACTCGTCCGGTTGTCGCATCCCTCTAGGATCTCTGTCGAACTCGAAACCCCAGGCCGCCCAAGCCCCAAACCGAAGCCTCGACACCCAAAACCGCACACACCGAACTTTAAGCCGATGCCCCCCCGCCCCCCTCCAAAAAAAAACAAACGCAAACAAAAGCATGTCTTGAAATCCCAAGACCCTTCCCCTTCGTCTCTCCTCCGAATCCACGAGTAACCCCAAGTCGCAGGAGTAATCCATCACCTCGTGAGGTACGGAGGAGAGGATCCTTTCCTGGATGTTTGACGAGTGCGTTGAACAAAAAAGCTGCGTCGGTTTTTTGTGGTCTAGGAGGGTTTTAGCCGTAGTAGCTGAGTAGTAAGCTTGCGGCCTGCCATAATCATAGGTCTAGCTCTTGGGACAGTTGGGCCAGGCAAGTATGCAACCCAAGTGGGGATGTTCCTGGGAGCTTTATCTGGCTTGTTGTACCTCTTGGGAGAAGGGTTCAATCAGGGTTTTATGACGCAGGCCCCTGGCATAGGCATTATGTCAATTAGCACTGTGTGGTGCGTGTGTGTGTGTGTGTGTATATCATGTTAAGCAAGTTCGCTATGTTACACACTGCTATGTTAAGCTATGGTACGGTACGCCATGGCATGACGTGGTATGGTGTGGTATGGTAGGGTATAGCATGCTGTGGTATCTTATACCATGTATGTATGGCAGCGGTGGACACCATCAAAGGTTACTGAGACCCAATGTTGGGCTGTGACTCAACTTGCGTGAGCTCAAGGGATAGCTGCAAATCAATGCATGCATGCATGGCTGTCTGGGTGGTTGGTTGGTTGGAGGGTTGGATCGTTGGGTGGATGGATGCATGCATGGATGGATGGATGGATGCTTGGCTGGTTGGGTGGCTGGTTGGGTGGATGGGTGGATGGATGGTTGGATGGATGGATGGATGGATGGACGGATGCATGGATGCATGGATGCATAGATTCGTGGATGCATGGATTCACGGATGCATCCATTCATGGGTGCATGGGTGCGTGGATGGCTGGATGGATGGACGAATGGATGAATGGATGAATGGATGAATGGATGGATGGACGAATGGATGAATGGATGAATGGATGAATGGATGAATGGATGAAGGGATGGATTGGATGGATGGATGAATGGATGAATGCATGAATGGATGATTGGTTGGATGGTTGCATGGCTTCATGGTTGGATGGTTGCATGGTTGGATGGTTGCATGACTGGATGCTTGGATCGTTGGGTGGATGGATGCATGGATGGATGGATGCTTGGCTGGTTGGGTGGCTGGTTGGGTGGATGGGTGGATGGATGGTTGGATGGATGGATGGATGGATGGATGCATGGATGCATGGGTGCATGGATGCATGGACCCCTAATTGTTGCAGCTTTTTGGGTTATGGCTCATATAGAAATCCTAAGGCTATAAACCCTTCAAAACCCTAACAACTCTAAACCCTAGAACCTTAAACCCTAACACTAATAGATTCAGGCCCTGAAAGGAGGTACTTTGCATCCTTTGGGTTTTTTTCGGCCCTTGAGGGGCGACTTGTGAGCCAGATGCCCCGCGGAAGGATCGCGTCTGCGGCCCGTCGAAAGCGCTTTCGGCGACGCCCATCGCCGCATACTCGGCATGTAGGGTTTAGCAAGGGTTTAGGGTTTAGGATTTCAGGTTTAGGGTTTGGTTTTGCTGTTTGTTGTAAAATTTCGATTTGAGTTGTTGTTTCGCTGTTTGTTGCTAGTTTCAAATTGTTTAGGGTGGTTTGTTTTGGGCGAAGAATGTTGTGGGATTGGGGTTGAAAACGGTATCGTTGGCTGTATTTAGGGATTTGAGTATCGTGCTTTGGGAGTCCAGAGTGTAGATTCCATTTGGATTTTGAAGTCTAGCACAGTTTAGCATTGTTTGTTTTGGGGGAGGGAGGGAGGTTCAGGGCAGATGTGCTTCATTCCGCTTCCGCGCACCCGCCCCTACTCCAAGGATGTCGCCAAGGCCACTGTTTGAAAAGTGGTTTGAGCGCCGTCTCTTGTGCGAGCCCGGATTTAGACAGTGCGTACCTAAATGCGGCCTTCATTGTAGTTCCTGTTCGGGGTGACCTTTGTATGTGAAGCTGGTAATCCCAAACAAGGAACTGCAGTGGAGACTATATGCATTCTTCGTCTCGGTCTGAGAGCCCAGCGGAATGATGAAGGTCTGACTCAGGATCGCGAGAAGGCCACCCACGGCAAGTTCTTGTAAGGTTTCCCTTAACCTCCGGTACCCCGTATATCATTGAAACACCCTACATCCCTAAATCCCTAACCAACAGAAGAATGCTCTTGTCTTACCTTTGGTTAGTAGGGAATGAAGGAATGGGTACTATTATACTTACTATTACTATCATTCTTCCGTTCCCTACTAACCAAAGGTAAGTTGTTTCGAGCCGTCGTTTCCAAGACCCCTTTGCCTCTGCCGCCTCCGAGGTCTTGAAGGCGCCCTCCACCCGGCTGTCAACAAAGGATTTAGGGGTTTGGGGGTTTAGGTTGTGGGGTTTAGGTTTAATAGGGGTTTAGGGTTTTAGGGTTGAGGATCAGGTTTAATAGGGGTTTGGGGTTCAGGGGCTTGGGGTTTAGGGTTACGAACATGGGGTGTCAAGTACATCGTACAGTATTTGGGGGTCTTATAGGGCCGTGGAGGCCGTATGGCTTTTGTTTTGAATATGGGAGCTTAGGACTTTGCAGGGTGTATGCGTTCCGCTCTAAACGGGGTCTTGGGTTTAGGTATTCAGGAAGGATTGCTTCATGACAGCCTTCATCATGAACCCATAACATTGTCAACAATGGTACTTCTATTTGGGCTCTAAAGATTAATGGGCTCATAGATTTGGGGAATATTCAGGGTAATGTGTTGTTTAGGGTTTGGGACTTCAGGGATCTCGTTCTTTCCCTTGAGGGTTTACGTATTGAGGCTTCAAGAGCTCAGGGGCTCTGGAGTTTCAAGGTTTCAGTTTCTAGCAGACACTATACCTCCAACTGCCACGACCTGCTGAATTGCATGTAAGGTCAAGTTTAGCTACTTGCTTTATATCCCATGTAAACTAGGAAGCCTATGAACCAGTATTGATTATATGCTTGTGTAACATGGCGTTTAGGGGTTTGGGCTGCAAGGGTTCGCAACAGTCACGTGTGTTTAGGGCTGCCGGGTTCTACGGCTTTCAGCATTGGGAAAGCCAGGCGATGGAAAGTGAAAACCGATAGCTAGTTAAGACAAGGACTATATCCCTCTAACTGCAGTTTCATTCCTTGTTTAAGGGGTAGATGGTATACCTTTGAAACATCAGATTTCTTACCGAATTATCAAGGGGTATAGGACTGTTTCGGTATACTATTGGAGATGCAGTTGGTGTCTGAGGGGTTCTAGTTTCAAGAAGTTCCCCTCGCGCTATTATCGAGGAGCTCCGAAGTAGGCCGAGAATGAGCAACAGACCCTATAGACTCACAAAGGCAGAACGAAATCGAAAAAAGAAATCGAAATATTCCAGTACATGGGATATTCGTTCTTTATTTAACTTACATAGCGTTCCTGAGGATCTTCACAATTTCAAGAGTAGCCAAATCTTGTGTCACAGCGCCTGATCCACAATGGAGTCCTTCTGATGCACGGTCCGGTAAATAACTATAAAATTTCGGTACGGTTCCTTACCATAAATGTGTTAAGACGAAACCGAAATCCCTAGTTTAGTTATTAGGGTCCTTGAAGGGGGAACTCGCTCACAAATCTTTACCCTAGGGCTCCGGACTTGAACAGTAGCTTACTAGCCGTTGACCCCGTAACCCATTATTCAGGTAGGGCTGGCCCAGACCCATACGAAATCGTTCTGAAACCCTCATAGATATGGCAAAAAAACCTGAAAACTGCGGGCTGTTGGGGCTTAAGGGAAAAAGAGAAACCCTAAGTCTCTTCCAGAAACCTTAACCGCATGTCTCAAGCAATGCCAGAACCCCACAGGTCACGTCCCCGCGGGTCTTGACGCTCACCTTAGTGGATCTTCCGGGCGTCGCGCGAGTGCCCGTGGGAGACCAGCCAGAGGCCCTTTGTCAGAGGGGTGTTGAGGTGGTGTGGTAGGACTTTGTGAGCTGTTCTGAGGACTTTGGCAGGAATGGAAGGTTTCGACAGGTGTCGTATTAAAATTGACAAGACAAGGCTGTTCGAGATTATCATCAGGCCGGGGCAGTGTTAGTAGTCTGGCACTGGGATTAAAAGGCAGATACTGAGGTCTCAGATTGTGTTTCGGGTTGTTTGGGGGTGTTAGGGCGGGCTTCCAGGTGTCAAGGCTTCTAGTGTTTTGTTTAGGAGTCTTGACATTGGTGAATCATGAAGGTTGAAGGCTTGTCGGGTTAAGACAGGGAACCACGAGAAAAACCGCTATAGAAACCTTCGGTGGTGGGGTTCAAGGCTGCCAAGGCTTCAGGGCATGAGGGGTCTAACTCAGGAGCTGGTGAAAGAGGCACCGTGACCGCAGAAGCGAAAACTTCGAGGGCGAGGCTGCTCAAAAGATCACTCCAGCTCAGGCTCAGCGCCCCGCCGCGTCCTGCACAGCCCATGGCTGGCTACAAGAGCGCGAGCGACGACAAGGTCCCAGACGACGAGTGGATTCGCCCGACTACCTGGCCACCGAGGAAAAGTGTGCTCGAGAGAGGCCCAGATGCCCCGCACGTCGTTCTCTCCACGAAGTTCCAAGAGCCATGGAAGACAATCTCGATCGGAGTCAAGGAGATCCTGGAAGAACTGGGCTGCACGGTGTACAATCCCAATACCGACAACAAGGCGCGCTGGGGGGCCCCAATCAACGGGTTGAAAGCTGTAGAAAGCGTCAAGACTCCTTTGCTTCCGAAGACCTTGCGGTGTTAAGGCATCTCTGAAGTGAGCACGGCTGGGTTGTGGGGTTCAATCAGCTTTGTTGCCGACCTCTCTCTCTCTCTCTCTCTCTCTCTCTCAATCTCACCCGCAAGGAACTTTGGAAGGAGGAAGCCGACTCCCGCTGGCTCCTCACTTTCCAGGAGAACTTGGATCGCATCGAGCAGAGCAAACGGGGCTTCGTGCTCCAGATCCAGCAGGGCCAGGTCCGGTAGAAATCGTATATGCAGATCTCGGAGGAGAACATGGGGAAGAAGTGGCAAGTCCCCCGCATCGGTCTCTTCGCCTTTGCGACCACCTATACTCGAGGAGGCTTCACCGGGTGCGAGGATAAGCTGGCCCTAGCAGTGCAGAAGGCCCGGGAGCAGTGGGAGCAAGGCGTCAAGGACGAGGTGCAGATGGTCTCCGAGTGCTTCGAACCGATCGGCGGAGACCGCGAGCTGCCCGTCAACGACCAGGGCGAAATCCATGGCCGGGCGCGATGCACGTGGCCGAACGGTGATGTGTACGAGGGAGACTACAAGGATGGCAAGAGGAACGGCACGGGAACGCACACGTTGGCGAGCGGCGCGGTCTACGTCGGGGAGTGCAAGGACAAGAAGAGGAACGGCAAGGGAACGTACACGTACAAGAACGGCGCCGTGGAGGTGGGCTTCTACGAGGACAACAAGGATCCGGACAAGGGCCGTGGTGTGAGGCTCAGCGCGGACGGCAAGAAGGCCTGGCTCCTCATGGATGGCGAAGTCGAGCGCGAGGTCTCCGTCGCCGAGGCGGGGCCGCTTTCCAGCAAACGAGAAAGTGCGGTGTGTTTTTCGCCCCGCTCCCCGCAGGCTCGGAAGGTGGCCGAGGAGCTCGGGCTGCCGCCCCTTCCGTGAGACGAATGCGTGCCTGTGCCTCGGGCCGCCTTTTTTTGTGTGCTTGTCCGTGGCCTCCACCCCCCCCTTCAGAACTTTGAGCCGAGGTCAGCGGAGATCCCCCGCAACAGCGCTGAGTGAAGGCTCGGAGCACCGATTTACTTTAGATTCAGAGTTTAGGAAGATTTTCGCGCTGGTGGTCGGCGGCCCTGAAGGGCCGGTTGACCGCCGGAGCACTCCAAACGTGATATATGCAGCGGTTGCGAGCAAATCGCTCTGCACGACATGTCGCGGCTCAGTGGCAAAGCCAAAATGTAGAGCTGCGCACCGAGTCGGAGCTTGTGTGCTGCAAGAGGCCACTGCAGGCCGCGTCGGAATTTGAGGGAGTATGGGGTTTAGGCCCTTACACTGCCGGTGTCTGGTTTAGGGGATCTGGGTGTTTGGAGTCTGGAGTTGCTGGTGTTCAACACATTGGGGTCTTCAGCCGGTTGAAATGTGACTGCAGCTGAGTGCTTTGTCAGGCTCGGCTTGACGGGAGCTTTCAAACCTTTGTAGGCAGAGTTGGGCTTTACCGAGGGGTGGAGTTTTGATCCGTAAAGGGGCCCTGACACCGGATCTTAATCGTCTGCTCATATCAGGCTGCCTTCAGGTCAATTATGCTGAACCCGCCTAAAGCCCTTGAAACTTAAAACCTTTAAGCCCGGAGTCGCCTAAATCCTTGCAAGCCCTGCACTGAATCCAGAAGGTCTCGGACCTTGCAACGTAAACAATGCCTGAGAAAATTGAGGTCCCCAAGCTCAAGGTTTAGGGGTCAAAGTCAGGGGTTAGGTTCGGGGCTGTGGGTTCCGCGCTTTCTGGAATACGGTTTAGCGTTTGCAGTTCGAGGTTCCCAGCTTAAGTACCGGCTAGTTCCTTAATCCTCTACTTCCCCCTCAAGCCTCAAACGCCTATATACAGTTCCAGAGGTTCAAGTTCAATGAATCAGTGTTTGAGTCAGCGGTTATTGCAACTGCAGAACACCACCAACCACTCGTAACATCAGCAACAGGGGCCCCAGACACAACAAATATACACGCGCTGCTGCTGCTGCTGTTGCTGCTGCTGCTTCTGCGGTGTTGGTGCCCCTTGCTCCTATATACTGCTGCTTGCTGCAGCTGTTAGGCCACAGCGAGGACAGTTCTCCCACAGTATCAAGCATCAGTGCAGAACGATTTCTCGTCGCAGGACATCGAGCAGCAGATACGCCACTCGTCAGTCTTGTTTCCGGAAGGCGGTTCTAGAGGGCATACAGCAGTGAAGGGGTGGCAACTACAGTGCTGCCTCATAGAAGGCAGACTCTCCTAGATGTTGCTGCTGCGTTGTCATTGCTGGCGTTGCTGGCGTGCTCGTTGAAGCAGCAGTCGTGGTGGCACTAGGCTGTGTGACAGTAGCGTTAGGCGATCATTCTGTTCGCACCACTGGGTTGTTTGTGCTTCCATTACTTGCCTTCGGATGTCTTCGGCTTCTGCGTCTTTGGGATTAGCAGCTCGGGGGGTTCTGGTTTGGAGATGTGGGTTCGGGGCTCATGAGGCTTTCGGGTTCGGAGGAGAAGCAGCCCAACAGACATACACAAGCTTTGCACCCAAACCTCGAAGCGCTGTGCAGTTAGTTCTGAAAGCGGAAAGCCAAGCCGGCCGCCCCTGTCATTGAAGCATCAACTTAAGCTAGGTTGTTCTAGAAAAACCTAGTTGAAACGAAGTTCAGCTCATGTCCATGGATGTTTGTAGGATTGGTTGTGAACTATACAGCCCTAATCCCCAGCTCCGCCAAACCCTCAATCCTTGTATCCCCCTAACCCCTTCATCCCGAAAGCCCTAATCCCTGCAAGCTCTTGCTTCGACTGCCGGGATTGCAGATTGTGTGTCTGAGCGTTTGGGTGAAGGCCCTTTGGCGCGGAGACATTTAGGGCCTTTTCTGTTGAGGGGGCGAGGGGTTAAGGTTCCAGGTCGTTGTGGCTTTGTTCTAACACAGCGTGGCGACCGCTCAATTTTCGTCTGGACTTGAGGTTTGGGATCCTTGGGTTTGGTGTTAAGCTTTTGTCTGTTAGGGTTTTGGGCTTTATATGCTACCACAGAAGTTCAGGGGTAAAAGGTGCGAGCGTCACCGTGGACATTGTGCCATGACAAAACCGCCGAATTGCTAAGGTGAGCTGGTCCTCGCCCACATCGCGAGCTCGCTCCTGGCTTCAACACTCTACGCCTTGAACCCTTCCTGGGCCCCCGTGTGTTTAGGATTCTGCAGATTCCTTGTTCCGACTTCCGCATGTTGTTCTAATCTTTAAGGGAGGTGTACAGGTAAACCCTAGAACCCTAAAACGTGCCTCGCTGTGAAGTTCGACCATAACCTAAACCCCAGGTTTGGCGATTGAGGCTGAGGCCTGTTGTCCAGGGTGTAGGGCTTAGGGTTGCGCTTCATACGACTACAGGGATCTCTTTTCTTCTTCGAGTGTTGGGTCTTTTTGAGCTTTACAAGTAGTTGGAAAAAGAACCCTGGACATATGTGGAATTTCCCAAACCCTGAACCCCAAGCCCTGAGAACCTGACGTGTACTTGCGTCTGCAGAATTAAGTTCGTTTCGTTTCGTGTTTAACAAGTTCTCACTGACCCACCAACCGAAACAGACAACACACTGAAAACCCTTGAGACAAAAGAACGTATACCCGGACCCTGCACCCTGCATCTTAACCCTCAAACCCTGAAGCCCAGAGAGACAATTCTTCGATTGCTTTCATATGCCGGGATGGCTTGCAGAAGAAACTAGACGCCCTACACCTGTCAAGAGAGGTGTGAACAGAGGTTCGGGGCTTAAACATGAGTTGAAGGTATATGTACATGTGCATGTGTATGTGTATCTGTATACGTATTTGTATCTATATACATGCGTCTGTACACATACACACACCTATAGCAACAGAGGGAGGGGAGAGAGAGAGAGAGAGAGACAGACCCGAAACTGCGACCCTGAGCTCTAAGCCCCCGTCACCCTCAAGCCCTCAATCGTCAGCCCAGGCGTTGCCTCATCCTCGCCGTAGCGGCCGCCAATGCCGACCTTGCTACAGCGGATTCTCTGGCCCTTGCACGCGAGGTGGGTTCGTAAATATCTTCTATTTGTAATGGTTCCTACAACAGAACCCCTTCAGAGAAAAATCAAGCTTTGAGGGTCTTTCGGAAAGGCCCTGGACGGTTTGTTTCGGCTTTTGGTGGAGCTCTTCGGGCCAATGATTTTGGAGCCTAGGGTTTCGTCTTTTTCTGTTTGCTTGTGAACCTACCGTAGACTACCGCAGCCTATTTTTTGTAGCTTCAATCTAAAAGCATGGGACCTACGGGGACACTACAAAAAAACGTAGCTTCGAGTACTTCAACGTCACCCCTCCAAGTTCTCAAGGACAGGAGATCCTCTTGTCTCAGTCCTGTCTATGGGTCCCCTATGAAAGGCCAAGCGTAAGACTCGGACTTAGATTTCGATTTTATAGGTGCACGTCGATGTGTCACCCGTCCCTAAACCTTAGAGCCCCGAAGCCTTATACCCGGAGGTGGATCCCAAAGGGGAGCGTACGCTGGGCGTTCTGACGAAGATGGCCGCAGTCTCATCTACTGCCATAGGGTTTCTGGTGTCGGCTTGAAGCTTCGGGCTCAGGGTCCAGAACCGTTGACTTAATTAAGGGTAGACGTGGAGGACGCTGATCCAGCTTGGTTGAATAGTCATGTGGACATCAGTCTGTCGTCAATGTACAGAAAGCTTTATCGACGAAAGCTGCGACACTGTCTGCCACCAACCGGAACCCTCTGTAGTTTCACAACTCCAACCTCCCCAAGTCGTCTTTAACTTTCATCAGAGCCTACCCCTCCCCCCAAAAACCTTAACCTACCGGAAGCCGTACAAGCTGATAGCCCTTGAACCCGAAACCCTGTAAATCCAACTTAAGCCTGAAATCCTGAACCTCAAACCCCATAGACGGTAGGATCTGAAACCCTGAATAGCAGCCCAGCCTAGCGCTAATGAACTTCCCAGGATCTTGTGGACGCCAGCGGGGCGGACCAGACTGCCTCGGTGCTTGCGGGCAAAGTCTACCCGCTGGAAGCTCAGCAATCTTGTCTGTGGCATACTTCAGACTTAACACATCCCAATATCGTGAAGCAGTCGAATAGAAGACTAAATTTCCATAGCCATAAATCCTATACATCCGGAGTTCTATCCTACACCCTACATGCCCTAACGTAAAACCTGAAAAGGTCCGGGGCTCAAGTCTCATAAGAACTCTAGAACAGGGGAGAGCGTGCGGCCCGTAGATGCCAAACTCCAAGCCTCTAGCCCGTGCTGCTCCGAACCGTATCCGAGAAAACCGCAAAGCCCTAAACCTCTGGCTAACCCCAGCCATGACCCCTAAATTCAGTATGACTCTATCGATCCTTGATATGTTTCGCTCAAAGATCTGGAGCGGTGTGGGACAGACCTCACGATCACGCAATCTTCCAAGAAGATGTGACCTAAACCTGCGTGACTTACCCATCCATGGCTTCGTGCAGGCCTTGCTGAGTCTCCATTGTTTGGTATACCTTAAGAAACCTACGAAGCCGAGGTTCATGTAGATCCACCTACCTAGAACCTGAGCCCAAGGACCGGTGGGTTTGTAGGGTTTCGGGGAAGCTAACTGGGGTTTAGGAGCTGTTAGGGTATAGGGAGAAAGCGTGTCACAACAAGAAGTTTTCAAGCGCCCCACAACTGTTACTGTAAGGAATGTTGGTAGATGAAGGCATAGCGGCAGTTCAAGTTGCAGGAACAGTTCAGAAGCTCCTACAAAGCAAGCCTTTGAACATGAAGAACTTCGAGCAAGCTCCCTGTCGACCCTTTCACACCCTGCTGGAAAATCAGGCTTTAACAATTTGATTCGTTAAGATACGACTTGACAGCCAAGGCTTAGCCTAGGCTTCGTCGGAGTGATTTGCGGCCACCGTGGTGACCTGCAGGCGGCAATGCCTTGT